TTCAGATAACCAACAGGTGCTAGTTGCTCCTCTCTCACACTTAGAACAAAGTTTTTTCCTCATAGCCAAAAGGTGCCAAGAAACAATAGATTTTAAGTAACAATTAGATAAATAATTTGAGAATCTGTTGAATATTCACAAAATCCTTAAAGTTGAGACAGTCACATAAGTGTAGTATAACGAATATTGGTGTTATAAAAATATAGAATTTATTTAAATTATCAAATTTTATTCAATCGTTTTACAAATCCAAAAATAAATGAAAAATTTATTCACAGGTCTAGTTCTAAATCTCAGATATATATATAGAAATAAAGAAAGAGGCGAAAAAAACAGATGGAAGAACCGTGTGTAAAATTGCAAAATCAAAATGATAGAATACAAGGAGAAAAAGTAATGATAAAATATGATGGATGATGGAGACAGAGGGAGTGGGTGAAAAACGATCATGCGAGTGAAACGAACTGGGTCTCGGTCGTGATAAATATTCAAAGGCAAAATTTAAAAGTTCCTTGGGAAATGGAAGAATATCCATGGTCGTTTTGCGACGCTCTGAAGAATTCTTTACATTAATGGCACAGTCAAGAAAGAAAATAAATTCGAATAACGATAGTGATATATATATATATATATATATATATATATATATATAAACTTGAGGTAAAAGGAGGCCTGACTTTTTCGGTTATAAAAAAAACTTTTAAAAATATTTGCCTCTCAAAATTTTCAGTTTGTTAGTGTTCGTATTTTTCAACCTTAAAGACATTTTACAAGATTAAAAACTCCAAAGTGTGCATCAAAAAACTTTTTCTTATCTAGATCAGATTTTATTTGTTCGAACAATGAATATAATCCACTTGGTAATCAACAGTAAGCTTCAAAATTCCCGGGAGACGAAAGAGTCAAAGGCACATGAGATTGTCATTTCGCCCCGAGGGAACGAAGAAAGTTACTTTAATGAAATTCACTAAAATTTGATGGAAAAGTAGAATGTCTTGAAAAATAATTTTTATCATATATTTTTTGAAATTATAATTTTTCTTCTTTGGGAATTTTTAAAATTATTCTTCGAATATGAATATCGACTCAATTTTCACAATTTTTTTTTTTTTTTTTTCGCAAGAAGATTAAAAAGTAGGTGCAAATGAGAATTTTAATTCTGAATTAGTATGAAAAGTCTCCAAGATGGGAGAAAAGGGAACGATAAAAGTAAAGGAAGACGAATGACTTTTTAACCCCGCGATTCTTTCGGAGGTCTTAATTGGCTCGTGGTATGGAACCCACAAGAAGTGTCATTGGAATGAAACTGTGACCACTTTTCTTAATGCGAATTTTATTGTAATAGACTAAGCGAAATGCATCGTATCATAAATTTTACATCTGAATCAGGAAAGATGCTTTGCTCTCAAGTTGTCAATAAAATTTATAGTTCCAAAAGCGGTTCAATTTTACAGTGTCCTTTCAAAATTATGAGACTGTAGAGGGATTCTGCCAAGCACAACTTTAAGTAGTGCCGTGGTTACCAATTGTAGAAGCTATGTTCAAGCATTAGAAATATAGCGCCATTGCTATATAGTGCATTTTGCTATTGAGAAAAAACAGAATGCACATATTTTTAATTTGTTAATGCTAATTAGACTGATAATATTCTAATCTTATTTTTATTTTAAAAGTAATGTAAGGTTAAAGAAATAAAAATAAATTTAGTTCTACTATATAGCGATGTGGCAAAGATGTTGTCAATTGCTACGAGCATCAATTGTTTACAGTTAAATTCTGTGTCTACAAAGCTTTGCGCTATCATAGCGATTACAAACATTTCACCTTAGAAAATTAAGGTCAAAAGATGTTTTAAATTGGAAATTAAATGACAAATTAATGTTGGTAGAATTATTTTGTTAAATAAATATAGTAAATATAATAACTTTTTAAATTTAAACGATTTGAAATTGTAATATATAATACTAAATTGAATTGTTTCTCACTTACCTATAACAAAAAATTTCTGAATAATAGATCTTTGATAGTTTTCATTTTTAGATTATCCTTATAATTTAAAATTTAAATAAACCCACGGATGTTTACAAAAAATGTGTTTGGTTTTTTCTCAATACCAAGATGCACTACATAGCATTGGCGCTATATTTCTAATGCTTAAACATAGCTTCTACAATAGTTAGCACGGCATACATGTAGACACAGAATTTAACTATAAACAGTTGATAATCGTAGTAATTTGACAACATATCCTTGCCAAATCGTTATATAGTAGAACTAAATTTATTTTTATTTTTATTTCTTTAATCTTATATTACTTTTAAAATTAAAATAATATTAGACTATTATCAGTCTAATTATCATTAACAAATTAAAAATTTTATTTTCTAATTTAATCGCTAAATAGCAAAAAGTGCTACATAGCACTAGTGCTAAACAGAATCCCTCTACTGACTTTTCGATTTCGGTATGCTTTATAAATTTAGGATGAATTTTCTTTTTTGCTTTTTATTTTCTCTACAATACAAACGGAAAATTTTAAAAAATATTTTTCCATCTCGTCTACAATATTTTTAGTGTCAGATGATATTTTTACCAAACGATTTTATTCATATTAAAATATTTTTTAGAGCCTGTAAAAAAAGTTACGTTTTAACAACGGCTATTGTTGGGAAGTTTGAATCTCGATAACGGGGAATTTTTAAATTTCAGTAACGAATTTTTTGCCCATTTTTTCTTTTCAATTTAAATTATTATTAATCCTAGCAATTGGATTGTCGGTAAATTAATAGATCCTAATTTTTTTCTTTCTAAGTTTTGTGTCCTATGCGTATATGGGCTAGGACGAAGATTTGGGAACGTTATTAATGATTATAGATAGCCTATTTTAGCTTCACAACATGTAAACATGTATATTATTCAAATTACTATAAGTTTTTATGTATTCCAAATATGATGCTCTAAGTGTAACCAAAATTAAGCTTAAGAAGTGCCGTAAGTTTTCTGTCCTATGCGTACATGGGCTAGGAAGAAGATTTGGAAAGTCTGTCTGGAAAATTGGTCAAGACTTTTAATTGACACTATGAGGTATTTATAAAGCATGTGCTTTTTTCTGAAATTGTTTTTTCTCTTATAAAGAAATATTTAGGTGAGAAAAGGCCCCTAGTATTGAAAAGTAAACAAAGTGTGATAAAGACATTACACGTGCTATTCCTACTTTGTGTAGGAAATCTAATCTTCCTTATCATCCTAGATGTGTGGTACAGTTTTCTACTTTGCTTGATAGGTCGTTCGCTAGATGCTGTAAATCTAGGTCGTTGTCTCCTTCAACTAATTCGCAATCCTCACAGACTTCTGTTAGCTTGGATAGTATTATGAGAGTTATTAAGGATTTATCTACAATAGTTTCTAACAACTTCTCCTTCATGTCTGAAAATATTCCAGAAATTAGTAAAAAAAACTCGATGATTCGCAGTCTAGGCTGAATAATATGTAAAGCAGAGTTGTTGACAGAACGTCTTACTGTTGTCGAAGGGAGACTTGATGAATTTAGTCAAACTGTTTTACAAAAGTTGATTTTAATTCAGTAACCCAGCAAACACGTTCTATAAGTATTCCATAACAGTGAGGTCACAGTGTTATGGAGCATCTGTTCCTAAATAGTTACAGATCTGTTACATAACCTGATTATAACAGGGTTCTAGAACATAGTTACAAGTTAGTTACAGAATAGTTCTGTATTATGCTTATATGTCACAGTTCTATCACAATGTGATGTAAGAGTTATATAACTTTAATGTCACAAATTTTTTGTAACTGTTGTTCCAATCTTGTTCTATAACTGTGTAGGAACATATTATTATGTAACTGTTCTAAACGTCTGTTGCAATTCAGTTCTGTAATATAATTGTAATTACAATTAAGAACATTTCTGTAACAATGTTACGTGTCATTTTTATAATACCAAAGTCACAAATGATCTACTATAACTGTAAATAATTTTAAAAAAATACATATATATATATATATATATATATAAAGTCATTATTTACAACAAATTGCATTCTTATTTCTTTTATAACTACTATTAGTAGCATTTTTACTGTATTTTTAAATTTTCTTGAGTTTTATTATTCTTCTTCTTCTATTCAATCAATATTATTATGTATAAAAGTCTCATAAATTGTTTTAATAATGTGATGTAATTATTCGTTAATTGTTTAGTATTACCGTATTTGGCATTATTGTTATTTGTAGTGGCAAATTTTTTTAAAAAATTAATTTGACAAAGAATTTTGTAAAATCCATTTATTTAAATGAAAAGTTAGAATATAATTTTTTTTTTTAAATTTAGGAATTTTATTAATTAAGCTATAATTTATTGCATTAATCTTTCATTTCAAAATTAATTTTTAAGTCTTTCCTTATACATTTAACCCTTAAAGCGCACACTTACGAATCCATCCTTAAAGTCAAATTAATTAACATAGGTCAAATGCCTTGCCCAAAAAGTGTGGTTTGGAAGTATTTTACACAAATAAATCCAGTTGAAGATACTATATCACATACAAGTGTGTCTATTGTGGAGAAGCTTACGTGAAGCTTATATAATGATTAACAAATTATGTAATTTCATATAATAACACTTCTATCCTTTATTTTTAACCTACATACTAAAAAAATACATATTTAAATTAAAAAGCCAGTTAATTATCATTTAAATGAATATTCTCGTATATTCTCATAAATTCTCTTTTCTTCGGTAATTTACCACAATTTTCTTTCTTACCTTCTCTGGTTTCAATTTTACCGAGAATTTTAAAACACTAAGCCAGAGTTGCCGAGTGACCTACTAGTCACAGTCAAAGTGTGTCAGCCAGCAAATTATCAGTCAATAAAGTAATAATTTCCTATTTATCATTGGGCACGAAAATAATACAAAATTTCCTGAAATAATTTAATCAAGAAAAATATTTACAACATTAAAAATGAAAAATACTGACCTGCAATGATAACTCGTGCAGTGTGGCTAATTTGTCCCTCGCCATTTCGTGCAATGCAGGTGTAATCACCGATATCTTCATTTCTAATGGTAGAAATCCGCAATTCTGTACCATCGTTGAAGATGCCGATGGTCGTTGATATTTCAACAGGATTGGCGTCCTTATACCATAGGATTTCCGGTGTCGGCGTTCCTTCCGCTTGGCAGTTGAGAATTATTGCATCGCCCAAATTTACATAGATTATCTCCTCCGGTGTAATACTAAATCTAGGAGGCGCTGGAATAGAATTAGATTTTGTGAATTATTCCATTACAAAATTCAATTCATCAAAACTTAAAATTCATTAGATTATTATTAATCTCATTTCGACGTCTGTTCATTTTCGAAAATAAATTTAATTCTTAAAATTTTATCCCTAAACTGTAAACGATTCACACAAACATACTACTTGTCCAAATATACTTGAAATCGTGCGACTATTAAATGTGTAAACGAGCAAAGAGTTTTTTAGGGAAAAAAAGAACAAAAGAGTTTTAAATGCTGTTGCTGGTGTAAGTGTAACTTCCCTTGATGTCGTCTCGACGAAAAAAGAGAAAATGTTGGGACAAGTTGGACTGAAGCGCGGGTAAAAGAGCTTGAACAAGACGACAACCGGAAGAAGAAAAGAGGAACATTGGTATCCAAATGTTTCTCAGCTAAAACTTGCGCGCCCCTTGTATAAGCGAGAGAAAAAGCAATAATAAGTTCCCTCTTTCTCATCGTCGTTTTCTCTTAACTCTCCCCCTCTCATCCCTTACTCTATTTGCCTTAATGCCAACATCCTTCTTCTCATTGTCAAACATTTCTACCGGAAGAAAATTCTTGAGTCTTCGCCAAAACTGAAATATAGTTTATCACATTTACAACAACACTTTCCGCGCGAAAAGTCTGGAATAAAGGGGCATATATCGATTGATATTTTTATGGAATATAACATAGCGGATTACGATTTTATTTATCTTTCGAAATGGATAGCGAAAGAGGAAAGAAAAAAATTTACTAGATAAAAGTCAGACAATATTTTCAGACAATATGTGAAAAATTTGAAAAAGTGACGTTCTACAAATAGATTTTAAACTCTAAGACAAGTTTGGATTTTAAAAAATATTTTTTTTCCACTATTAGGTATATTTATTAATATAGAAATATACATTTTTTTGTAAAACACATTATGAATACTCTCAAAAGTATTTCACCATACTTTGTCCATATAGTTTAAAAATATGAAAAAATAGGCTTGCTTCTTCTCATGGTTTGCCATACTGTGCCCACAGTTCTAAATTTTGACAGTAAACTTTAAAAATATGAAGAAGGTTTTTTCTTTCATCCATGCTTTGCCACACTTTGCCCATGGTTCAAGAATAGAAGAAATTTAAATATTTTGTGTTTACATCAGTTGTTTTAATGAAAAATTTATTTTTGTTGTCACCATATTCTTTAACCATGGAATTTGCTCATTAGTAACACTTTTCCATACTTTGTCAAATTTAGTACCTTATTTCGCCATAAATCCTTTACCCATAGTTTCCCATCTTTTAACCGTACTTCCATTACGAATGTAAACAAAGTTTTACGTCACTTCGAGATTATTGACGTCTGTTAATAAATAACACAATAGCAAGAAAAAAACATTTTTATATTTATATCGAGTGCAAATAAAATTTTCACTTACCGTGAACATCGAGATGAAACCACGTGCCGTTTTTATGTGTGTTGGGAGGCCTATTGAGGAAGACGACCTTGCACTCATACCAGCCCTGATCGGTCTCACGAATGTTGGTCAGGTTAAGACTAGCGTCGCCATAGGGTGATTTAGGACTCACCCTTGAGACTCGATCTTCATAACCTTCGCCACTGTGGGTTGGATATGACTCGTACCATATGTAAATTGGTATCTCCTGCCCCTTACATAACATCAATATTTGACATAAACGAGTGATCTTTATCATCATTAAAAGCAGACGGCAATGTTTGTATTTAAGTTTTTTAAATCAATTTCAATTCTTTAATATAAATATTGAATCAAAAAAGCAATAATATTCTCACATGTCAATTATATGAGATTTCTCTCAATAATAATTTCAACAACAACAAATTTTTTTTTGCACATCACCATCTGCTTTAACATATTATGAGAAAATGAAACACGATACACACACAAATGCAACGAGTGGATGCAAATGAAAAAAGGGAAAAAATGTCTTTAATTCTTTGAGTACTCCAATAAATCGGATTTCTCAAAGAGATTCTCTAGTTGTTAAATAATTTAATTTATCATGCAGTGATAATGTTGAATATGATAAAAGACGAACGTCACTAATTTGTGTTAAATTGGCCTTACATAGACAATCAAGTATAAAAAATATTCTACAAAAAGGACATCTATTCCATTAGAGAAAGAAATTTCTCCAATGAAGTAAAATGACCATATAAAATAAAAATAATGTAATAGAAATACAATAATGTAATAATAATTTTCAATATTATTAAAATAATTATAAATACAGATTATTGTGTTACTTAATTCCATATAGAGAAAAGTATTCATTACAAAATAGTTCTTGTAAAAATATACAAATTTAAACAAAATATTGAATATTAAAAATATATATATGGAGAGATGATGAATATTTTAATTGGATAAAGAAGAAGGAAAAGTGACCATACAGAAAAGCAAGAAAGAAAATATGCAACATTCATATTTTTCTAAAGATTGAATAATTCTACTTTGAAGAAATACAAATTATTCTACACGAAGCTGAGTTACAGTAAATTAAATTAATCTAATTAGGATCGGTTGAGAGAGACTGTTCAATGCTATTGGGAGCCTTAAAGGCAAGAATTTTTTTTCCATTTATCACTTTAAAAAAATATAACTACAGTAAACCCTCGTTAACGCGTACTCGGTTAACACGAATTCTCTCTTAACACGAACAAAAATTGCGGTTAACACGAAACCCGGTTAAGACGAAACTCGAACAGTTTTTGGGGTCCTCATTTCGTTCTTAGCTCGGTTAACGCGTACAAATTGGTACCATCACACTTAGAGTTCTTTGTTCCAAATATTTTTCCACCCCTTAAAATATTTTTGATAATGTAATAATTTTATTAATCGTTTGATCAATTAGTATGAAAACGTATTTCCGTCAAATAATACAAGAAATAGTGTTTACATTGCTATGAGTGAAAGAAAACAATCGAATATCGACCTAAAAGCAAAATTATTAATTATGGTACTTTATGTTATTTATTATGAATGCCTCGATAACACGAATTATTTTAATACGAACTGCTAATTTTTCGGTCCCTTCAAGTTCGTGTTAACGAGGGTTTACTGTAATACAAAATTTTTTTTTGATAATGTTTAGGGGTGAAAAATCGATTATTTTCTTTATCTTTTCTTATAGTTAAGTATCTCAAGCATAAAGTCCCATTTAATTGTCAGTGATTTTATAATTTCGAAATTGAAGCTACTACAGAGAGTCTACTATATGGAGTTGGAATTGATGATTCAGTGTAAGTTAAGAAATAATTTTTTACTTTTGTATCTTTTAAAACTTGTGACGAAGTAGTTTCGTCACAGTTGTCTCTCTTTTATTTTTCTTACTAATAATGTTAGTTTTCCATAAATTCAAATTTTGCCCGTCAATTTTGACTTAAGGTTTAAAGGAAGATGAAAACTCCCCTTTAATTGACCAGCGTTTTCGGCGTTTCGAGGAAAAATGTATCAGACGACGAAAATACGTTTTCAATATAGCTTGATTTTGGATGTTGATAAGAGAAGACATGGAGTTGTTGCTTTAAGTATGCTGACATGGGATATGTTTCGAATAATCAAGTTTCTCTTTTTGGTTAATTTTCCCGACGGAACTCCCTTTGAGATATTTTTGTGAGATTTGTTGATATTTATTGATTAAAGATTTGACTATTGTTTTTGTTAGTTTTTCAATATAAAATTAATTGGCGTCCGACTGCCGCGTTGGTGCTAATTATTTTTGATTTGTGACGAATAAGGGAAAATGGTTATTTGATCTATGTATAATTTTTGATTTATCATTAAACAATCGTTATAGGCCATTTAAACAAAAGAAGAAGAAGAAGAAGAAGAAGAAGAAGAAACTACATTACCGATTCATTTCAAATTTGGTACGTTGGGGGAGGATTTAATACTTTGAGTAAATTTAAATGTTCATGGTTTCAGATAATTTCTCGCTGAGGTACAGTGAATACTGCAAATAGATTTTTTCCAAAGACGTTCTTGGAAAAGTTTTTCACCTTGTTTATTGATATTTTCGCATAAAATAATTACGAGTATTATTGAAATGATACTTAATAATGAACTGAAGTTTAAAATTTATTGTACCTATATTTGAAAAAAAAGCCAAAAGACGTTTTAATAATATTTTAGTAGAAGAGACTAGGTGCAGTTGTTACAATTTTGTTAAAATCAGTTACAGTGATTAGAGTTTAACTCCAATTTGTTTGGTCATACAATTAAATGAAAGGTATATTATCTAATTTTAAAAGGCCATAATTGATTTAGCTCTATATCTATTATTTAATCAACTAGAAGCATTTGAGTGACAGCGTGTAAATTGTAACAACTGCACAAAGTAAATGTCGGTTGTTACAATACCAAGAATCATCTATAACATTTCTAAATTAAAGGCAAATAATTTTATAATCTTTTACTCAACGTAATAGTGCGTGACAGTCTCATAGAGATGGCAGCACTAATATTGTTTCGAATTTTTAAAAAATATCCGTTCTCATCATCACTTGTAACAACTGCACAACAGGTACATTTTTTACAATAAATCACTTTATTAAAAAAGTATACACTAAATGTGGACAACCAAGGCAGTTTGTTAAAGCTAAATCCTCATAGAATTAATATTAAGGTCTATTAGTTATTTAAAAAATATCAACCAGAGAAATATTTACTTTTGGCCTCTAAAAACCAATGTGCCTATTTTTTTACTTGTAAAACCTAAGGGTGAAATTTAAAACAGATAGTAATTGTTAAATTAATATTAAAAAATGTTTTCGATCCCACTGTTTAGATTCCATGAGTTTTCAATAGATAAAATTATTTAAATACGGTTACTCAATTCCGTTAAATGATTTTTTTCTTGCAAAAAGTCAACTATTTCTATTTCTAGCTACCCGTCCTACTTACAGGAAGCCACAAATTCGATTGGGACTCACATATCCCGTGATACAAATTTATACTTATATTATAGTGAGAACATGAGGCAAACGACTTATAGAATAACTCAAGCGTGAAGGTACATTAAATCATATACAAACTGTCGATAGTCAGGCACACACGCAGAACTCTCGAAGTCGAACATTACGCTTCGATTAACCCCTAAATGCTACCCCAAATTTATAGATTAGCATTAATCACTTAAATACAAATGCATCAATGCAAATTGTCTTACGCTTAATACAGGGATAATTCGGGTTGTTCAATTTAAATCGATCGAGTAAACTGTGTTTCATCTAAATTAATGGTTCTTTCCAAATAGTGCAAATAGCAGTGTAACAGTTTGCGACGAACTTGAAGTTTACTTGGAGTTTACTGTATAAACTTACTGCAAGTCTGTTGTACCTATAGTATTATCAACTTTTTAAGCACAGTTCAAATATATTTCTCGCGTAAAAAATTCTTTATTTGGATTTAGCACATTGTCTACATACATCGAATTGCCTACTGACAGTTTCCTTGTCCTGTTTTTCTTTTTTAGGGCTTTTATCGATAGGGGCTACTTTTCCTTTTTCTATGACTATTGTACGAGGTTTCTCGACCAAGTTGGGTTAAAACGATCTCTTTTGAGTTTATGATCCTGACGTGCCTCTTTTGCCTGAATTGAAGCTTGGTGCAGACGTTCGTCTGCATCTTCTAATGAGTTAATTATTAGAAGCACAATCGCTTCTGTATGCTTTAACCTTACAGTCTGTATGAGCAATGTTAAACATTTCAGTCCCTCCTTGATTGTCATGTTGTTATTCTTCTGCACCTCGCAGAACTTCAGCATTTTGCTGACCTCCTGTACAATCGTTTCAATGTTTTCTGACTTTTAATTCCGGAGCTTCGTGCACTGGAACGATTATGGAGTATATCATTAATGGGTTATGTGGTATGAAAACCATTTAATGTCAGTTTGTCCCGGTCCCCACTACTGGACTTTATCCGACATCTGTCGGATTGTAGTCAAGTTTAGGAGAGCAGCTGTCCTAAAAAGAGTTGCTGTGAGTTTAAACGTCGAGTAGTGCTGCACAACAGTCAATAGCACAACTATTCTATCAACAGTTTTTTGTCAACTTACATAAACGAATTTTCATTTCTATTATTTGTACATTAATAGTGTCAGAGAGTTAGTACAGGTTTACCACAAAATCACTCATTTTGGGATTTCAAAGCACCAAACCGGTACGTCTGCTATTCTAAGTAATTGAGGCAACTGGTAGGAACATCTAATGCACCAAAATTTAATCCACGTCTACATATCAAATTCAGATGCATTGTTGAAAACAGATATGCAAATGCCTTGACTCGTTATACTGCTAGCACTTCTCTTTTTTCTTCACTCACAAAATCAATTGGTTGATTGATCACTTAATTCCCCACAGCATCATTGACAATATTTATGTCAAAATTGTGAAAATAGAAGCAGTATTGTAAATATTGCTGAAAGTTTAGATGCTGTGAGATTGCTTGGTTTAGAATGATATGTAGAACCACCAAATCGTTACTGCCCTCCTGCATTCATGAGCCACTGGTCATTGCCCCTACGTTAGGCGCTTGATGAGCAAACGCAGTGTGGGATTTAGCCGAAGCATTACTCCGCAGGTACTATGCCTTTGTTTCTAGAACCGCTCACACTTAATGTATGTCTGT